TCGCATATAACGTTTGCCGACACCTTTCTTTTAACTATTGCCGTAACTGTACACAAATAAAAGCAGCATCGGTGCTCGACGTGTAACTGACCCGCCTGTTTCAGATACTATGCCTACGTGATTCGCCTCAAGAAATCCGTGCACTGCAATGAAGGCTGTAAGACACGAGCGTCACGCGATCAATTACGAACGCGGGAGAAGCAGGGATGCCTCAGCCGTTTGCCGTTTATGATAAAAGATTCTATTATAGAGAGTCCCAAGAATGTTTTTGTTGCCACATCCCCTACATCGAGCTATCACGCGACTGAAAACTTGTTTTGGTTAACAACGTCCTAGGAGCAGAGTCAATATACCGAAAACTGTACAAAATGAGGAACAACGCGAAATACATGACAATGACAGATTCGTACTGTTCACGTAATCACGCGTAAACTTTTTAGCAAACTCGCCTATAGTTTGTTCTTTATTAAATTCTCCATGATTCTCAATTATCTTATATAAATCAAACTGGCTTATCATCTGAATACAAATCCTGCCTCTCTCTGTCTTCTTTTTTTATTGTCCTGTATTTCACACTGTTTCCCGTATCCAATGAATATGTAGCAACCGGCCTAAATAATCACTATCGTCAAGCGCTTGCTCTTTTTTTGTTGTTGTTTTCCGGAATCGAACCAAATTTAGGAAACGCTGCCTCGCAAGAACTGTGACAAGTTAGAGCTCATGGGGTCCCATTTCAATTCGGTTCCTCCGTCGTACAATTTACTTAATTTCACCGTACGTAAAAAAAAAAGCCACGAACAAGCGCGTCTGCCGGGGCCACTCGTAACAACGGCACAAACGGAGGAGAAAGCGTCGAAAGAAAGGGAGAGACGTCGGCCTCCTCTCTCGCCAACGCTGCCAGCGCCGCCGCCGCCACCACGAGACCCGACAGGGTAAACGAGATTACGCGGAGGACCTTGACCCCTCAAAAGCCGCGCGCGCTCTTTTTTTTTTTTTTTTTAACGCCATGCAGCCGAGTCAACAGACACACGCAGCGGCTACCCGGCGTCCGCCTATGCTACAAACCACAACAGCAGCAAGAAAGCAGTCACGCTACAGCCCCGTCGCCCCAAAAACGACGCGTGCCGCGCCTATTAGACTCAACCAAAACGGACGCGCGCACGGATAATAATACTAATGGTCGCAAGTCTTCCGAACCCAGCTTGCTTCCATCTGAACCAACCCCAAGAGAGAAAAAAGGGCGCCGCCTTTAACGACACGGCCAGGACCCCCCCCCCCCCCCCCCTTTTTTTTTTTTTCTTTTGCCTACCCCCGCAAACCAAAACCGCAACCAACTAGCATCACACGACGTGTCGGGGGTGTTACAGCGATAATCACCCACGATCCAAATCAAACAAACAAACGCTGTAAATTATATTCCCAGCCTTCGGCGAAAGTACATGCGTACCCTCCTTTTTCTGCTTGGCCTCTGGCAGTTGAGGCGAGCGATTAATGACCATTCCACGGAGACACTTTCACCTGCCCGTGACGTAAGAAAGATGAACATCAAGGGCGAGACGACGGAGGGACGAGGCGGCGCTGACGTCGGGCTCGGTTTAGTTTGGTCAGTGATCCCTCAGTTTAAGAAGCAAATATGGCCGCCGTTTTTGACGCTTGGTGCGGCTATAGGGTAGAGCGGTTCTCCCGAATTGACGAATAAATATGGCGCTCAAGTGCGGAATGCAGTCGAGCGAGGAATGTTGTTGAAGTGGCAGCGTTGTGAACAAGAAGCGGGAAGGTGCGTATCGCACATTCTGCAGCTAATTACGTCCTTCTGCAATATAAAGACTTCGTGTTCGCTATACGTTCCAACAGGAGCAAAACAACTGCGCTGCCTGCTGTTTCACTGCAGTGCACAAAAAGATCACAACGATGACAGAGTCAATAATAATGATGATATTTAAAAGGAAACAACTTCCGTTGTCTATCGTCAACCACCACGAACAGGACACTCCGCATAAATACAACTGAACCCACGGTTATTTACTATATCGCAAAGGACTGCGCTTTGACAAACGTTCACATGGGATTATTGACTGAAATACGTCAGCGTAACAGTATAGTTTTCAGGTAATTTTCTTCCGCCAACTACTATTCGTGGCGGCAAGGGCAGTGAGGCATGTGCTTTCGTTGAAAATCGCTATATAGTTTCGGCATGCTCTAGGCGCAGCTGCGACAGCATACTAGAGGTCACGTTCTACGGACCTCTACACGGACCAACACTAACGCCCGCAGGTGCTCACACACGTGCAAACACCCACATTTTATTGTGACCCTGTTTTAAACCGCACATATAAAGTAAACAACCAGGACAGGCGCTGATACGAGGCATGCCGGCGCGCAGCGCACGACTGCAAGAAGAAGCCTGAAACGGAAACGCAATACGCCGCGACCTATCTGGAAAAACCCCTTTCGGACTTATTACACTGCCGCCACTATTAAATGACAGGCACCTGGCAGGTTTCGCTGCGGGCCACCGTTATTGATTGCTGCAAACATTGCCAGCGACAGTTCCGTTGGACCACGCAAGTTTTATCCTGCACAAGACAATGCGTCCCGGGAGGAAAACGAAAGAGTGAGAAAGGCCAGGTGCTACGACGGCGGGGGGCTGTCAGCGTTTGCGGTTAGATGCATGGGCTTCGCCGGCTGTGAAATGTGTGCAAGGTTCGAATCCCGTTCACGTGTCAAAAGGCTGCATTTCGAAGGCCCGTAATTTATTTATTATTTATTTATTTGATTTGCATACACAGATAAACAAGGACACAGAAGGAGAGAGCAAGCTGGCAACTGCCACCTGGAGGGGAACAACGTCTGCTCACGCTTTCGGGAGGAGGAAAAAAACAGAGAAAAGGAAAATAGGAGGGAATAACGAGGCAAGAAGATGAAGAATAAAAAAAAAACGAAGACTTCAACGAGTATGAGTAAAAAACAGATAAAAAAACAAAAACGGCAAAAACCGTCTATAAACGGGTGGCCAGGTCCATTTGGTTCATAAATGTAAGGAGAGCTCGGTGGGCCCGTAACGAGAAATTCACCGTTAATTCGCACCATGCGGCCACACTGTTTATCGCTGGGTTAATATCGATAATCAATTGAAGCGTTCCTCAGTGAGTGACTACGTCAGCCCGGAATTCCTTAAGGAGACTTTAGGATGTTGAAGGGGCAGCGGCAGGAAATTTTGTGGTTGCTTTCAAGCGTCACTTATAGTATACATGCCGTTTTAAACACTCTGGATACGCCATCGAAGCACGCGCGCTCTTCCAGAGTTGTAATTTAAAGGTCACACCAGTGGCAGGCGCCTGCGCGGTTGAAACGGCAGACGGCGCGGTGGGTGCCCTTCAAATGTCGAGGGCGACGCCCGGTCGGTCTGGGCCGAGGATGCATGCAAATAGATAGGAGAAAGGAAGAACGCCGCCGTGACCTTTAGCCTATGGCGCAAACACCCAGCCCGCGCTCGAAGAAAGGTCACACCACGCGTCACGGCTTCGAATAGATGTCAAAGGGCCGCAAAAGAATGCGCCCCAAGAAGAAGGAAAAATATAACAGGCCTCAGAAACTTGTTACTCGCTTAAGCTTAAAACGAAGCCCGCGTGAAGTGAGTGGTATAAATGCCACGTTTTCAAAAGAAAGACGAATGCTTATGTTTTGATTTTGTGTTTTACGCTATTTGCAACCATTTGTGCTATGCGAGTGTTTTTGTTTCACCGTTACAGGCCATTCAAACTGTTGTGCTATGTCTCGACCAAAGAGGATTAAAGAAAAAATTGCTGGAGTGGGCAATGCCTTGCCAGCAGAAGCCATCTTTTGTCACTGCCAAGATGGCGGAAACGTGCTCTTTTCTGATGGTGCCCACTCAAAGATCAAGTGGCTTTGATATGTTATGTAAATGCTACGTTAGTTCTATCTTAAAAGATTGTTGTTCTCGACGAAATAACACACAGAAACGAGTATAGATGACTGAACCTTCAAGGAACTTTGCCTCCAATTAGAGGCTGACTAAGAAAAACTAGTAACTGTAAGACGCACTTGGAGCACTATGTGACCAGAAAAAGTTCCCACACTAAACTTGTTAGGCGTACGAGCGAAACGCTTCGTTATTAATCGCGGAACGGTGATAATTTATCATGCCCCTAGCAAGATGGCCGCCACAGCCGCCATCTTGCCAGTGGAACGGCTTCACTTCTGGGCAGTCATTTCCCACTCCAGCAATTTTTTAAAATCCTCCTTGGTCTCGACACCACACGTCCTGTCACTACAAATCTGGTAAGCGAACTACGGGCGATATCGACTCTACTGTGACGCCGATGCGACGCAAACTGGAAACGCCGGAAAACGAAAGCATCCGGATTGCTTAGCGTTCAGTTTTACTACGTGTGTGCACGTTTCTTTTTTTTAACTTGAACACATGCACGAAACCTCGAGATTCACGTAAAGAACCTTAGTTTGTCTGCAATCTTTTTTTTTTTTTACGTTAGCTTGACGCCGGATAGCGTAGGCATAAACGTCAGAGGCCGGATAGGTGATGCCATCTGGCGTGGTCGAGATGAATCGGGCAAGCATAGAATTTTTACTGCAGAACACTAGTGTACTAAACTCCTCCGATTGATTAAACTATCGCCAGTGGTTTAATATAATATGATTACATTTTTTCTTACTTTTTTGTCTTCAAAGACACTTTGGGGTAATCCAGTGGCGAAAACAAACAAGTGCGTCAGTAATTAGGGTTGCACGACGCGTCACAAGTTGTTGATATCATCGTCCGGCAACCCTTGCGTATACAAAAAAGAAGCTAAACCCTCCATGGTGCTTTCACGTGTAGCGTATTTTTTTTTTTTTTGAGTGTAAATCTTGTTACATTGCTTTCTGTCTCTCTCCTTTTTTGTTTCGCACCGTATTCCCGTAAATCCGGGGAACCGAGTCGTACAAAGCTTATCAGTAGAAACAGCGCGTTGGAAACTCACCTGTAGACGCCGACGTCCAAAAGCACGAGTTCCAAAATAAATTAGAAGCTCCAATAGAAGTGCACACAGTGTGGCCAACCAATCCTGCCCCCTGAAAAGAGCCAGAAAATAATGAGGGAACACGATTAGTCATTAGGAACAAACAGACTCATGTGTTAGACATTATATCACGCTACGTGTACCGTTTCCATCGCAATTTCAGTGTGGAATGTAAAAACACGCTTGCTTTACTATGTAGCAGTTCAGCGTGTTCGACAACAATTTGGGTAAACAGTTCAGAATGCATTCAAGCATTGCTTATTGCCATTCTCCGGTAAGTCTCCTCAACGATCGACTTCGCGTTGAGGCGACACGCTTAGCTATCAACACCCACATACAGCAAGCAATCACCGATACGGTACATGCACGTCATATTATAAGTGCATTGTAACGGGAATTGTTCGTGGGCCTCTTCATTAGACAACCCCATGAAGCCAAGTTACTACACTGCAGTATTTGACCAGAGTGTAGCAGTTGTCATATAAACTGAACAGAATTACCCTGGGACGAAAATTAAAGAACAACGAAGCAGCCATACGCGTAGTTATTTGTACTTCCGTTAAAGTATGTAAAGCGAATTCAACCTCCCCCCCCCCCCCCCCCACACACACACACCACGATGTAGATGCAGTTTTATCTCCCTGAAAGTAAACGAATGCGTAGTCAGGCTGGAAGTGCTCATCACGACTTTTTCAAATTTGTAACGAGGCCAGACACGAATGGCGTGCGTACGCGTGTGCGCTTTAACCGGAAAATAAAGGTAAATAAGGTTGTTATATGTTCCTAAACTGCGCCAAATGACGAGGACTCTGGAAAAAAAATAAACGCAGAAGACCACGAGCGCAGACTCAGACTTCATCAGGGAAATAACGAAAGAAAGAATACAATTTTATTTCCCTAACATGGCGCAGTCCGCGGAATACAATGCGTTAAATTCGTGCCACTCTGCAATTACGTCATTAGCTGCTGCAATCAACATGACCGTAGCCACCAAAGACCCAGCCTTCTAATATCTTGGATATTCTTCGGACGTGGCCCCGCAGGACGTCCATGGGGCTGGGGTCCTAGGGCCACGTTCGAAGCTGGGGTGCTGGATGCCGTCCTGGGGCCTTGTCTTAAAGAATAGTCAAAATATTGAAAGTGTGAGTCTGTGCGTTTCGTTTTCTAGAATCATCGTCATTTTGGCGCAGTTCAAGAACATCTAGCGGCAATGAACCACCCAGCACGTCAGAATGCCTTACTGAGGTAGATAGATAAGCGGGAATGCATCAAGAGGTGTGCGCAAGCACTAGACATTGATGCATGCATATATAACCTAACTGAAACGATCGCAGCGCCGCGAATAACCCCCGGCGGCATTCGTGGCAAACTCTGTCCGACGTATATTATAGTGAACTGCAAAGCCTTTATGCGCCGTCAGCCGCCAACACACTCGCACGGGGACGACAAGCGGAGAACAAAGGAAAACCACTCCTCGAGTCTAGTGTGTATAGTCTCGTTTTCGCCGCGGCGGAGACGACGAGACCGATTTAGAAGGCGACCGCGCATGCCCAGGGTGGCGAACAAACTTCCGAAAGTCAGAAATAGCAACAGCTGAGCTCGCTCGCTCGCGACCAGGGTGAACGCGAAGTATGCACAGAGCCGTGCAGACACGCTGCCGTTGGAATTCAAAAGCGCGAGTTTGTAAACCCGGCCTCTATACTGTCTCAAAAACGCTTTACCGTGCGTAACCTCGTACACTGGACGTTTCCTTTCTATCATTTTTTTATTCATTCGTTCGTTTTTCGAAAAAAGTGGAGTTATATATATGACCAGCGCATCGTGCAATTTCAACTTCCACGTCTGATGGAAAGTTGACGCTGGGAGGAAGCAGAACGCGACGAGCTCACAGAGAAAAGAAAGAAAGAAAGAAAGAAAGAAAGAAAGAAAGAAATAAAGAAAGAAAGAAAGAAAGAAAGAAAGAAAGAAAGAAAGAAAGAAAGAAAAAGGAAAAGAAAAGACGCACCGAGACTTTCCTGTTACGAACGCCGACGGAAAAAGTGGAACGAATGCCTTTGCGCGCGAAGACGACGCCACCATCTCGCACGCCGCGGCGGTTTTGAAGCGTTCCCGATTTTCGTTTGCCCCGCTGGCCGCGCGCTCAGCTCTTGTGCATGCGTTTGTATATAGAGTATATATAGTAACATGTCCCACCTAGCGTAAGATCGGCACAACTTCAACCGATTACGAGAAGGAAAACAAAAAAACGAGACGTTACGCAACAAGCGAAGCGTGAACCGAGAAATCGTTCCGGCTATGCGGAATTCTGCGAGACGCCTAAACTTTTTTGTCTTTTTCCCCCCTCTTGTCTGCCGTGTTAAATACGGAATAACGAGTACTTCCCTATACCATGCACTTCATTACAGAACGTGTGGGACTTACGCCCACAATCTCCTCCCTCGAGCCCCTCTATTTTTTCTATTATCGTCAACGACCGCCAAGTATGCAGCGCCACGCGAGAATGCGACTGAGAACGTCTTCGTCCGCCTCGGTGAATTAGTGGTAACGATCTTGACCCGAATTGATCGGGGTTCGATGACGGCCGCGGCGGTCACATTTCGATGGAGGCGAAACGCTATAGACGCCCACGTACTGATGGCGACGTCCGTTCACGTTAAAGAACAACTGGTGGTCTGTATTTCCAGAACCCACCGCTACGCGGTGTCTCCCTCATCATATGGTGGAGAGGGAGACCAGATATGATGAAAACTTCCTCACTTGCCCACGCATTGCGGCGACTGGATGATCGGCCACTTTCTGTACATCTGCTATTACAGCACAGCGTCCACATGTCTCGACAGCCCACAAGGCAGTGAAAAGCCCTGTTGTGCTTTTGGAGGACGACAGGCTTGTGCGAACGCCTCCGACTTGCGGTACAGTTCCACATGTTGCAGCGAATTAACTGTCTCTATCTCTACCCCCCCTTTTTTTTTTAAATTCCTTCTCTTTCTCCTCTCTCTTTCTATTCCCCTTCCCTAATCCGCCAGTGTAGGGTATAGCCAACGAGAATTCTTTCTGGTAAACCTCCCTTTCCCTCTCTATTAACTTCTTCCTCCTTCTATATGTGACTACTTCGTCGCGTTTTACGCCTTTGTTATCTGTTTTTTTTTTTTCACAACTATGTACTCTTTTTTTCTCTTTCTTTCCTCCTACCTCACTTTCCTCGGTTTATTTAGGGACGAAGCTCTTTATGGTCACGACTTGTTCGTTGGCGCTGGCGTCAACGTTGTGCACCATAGCCGCCGTTGACGATGATAATTCCGATGACATTGAAGAACAAGCGTGTCACATTCTCTTTCTTCCATCACGGCCCACCACGTGCAAAATACCCATTATACGTCATGACGAATACGATGACGCTGACGAAGATGAAGTTCCCGGATATACTGCTTGTGCAGTATATGACGTCTCAATATGCCCTCACGATGTATTTCGTACGACTGGAAACAACTTACAACCACCAGAGGAACGCGCCCAGACCTCGCCCTTGACAACTTCAGGGTACACCACAAAACAGTAATAATGAAGGCAAAACGAAATTCCCGACTCAACACAGCGTACCATTTATGGCCAATAAACATTGTTCATAGCTGGACACCGCTTCGTGACTCATTTAAACGCGCGAGTGGTCAATGTCACCAGGCGATTTACGGCAACACCGAAGGATCCCACTGTTTCGCCCAGTCGTCATCATTAATTTCGAGGATATGGCGTTATCACGTATAAACATCAGATTGATTGATTGGTATGTGTGGTTTAACGTCCCAAAACCACCATATGATTATGAGAGACACCGTAGTGGAGGGCTCCGGAAATTTAGACCACCTGGGGTTCTTTAACGTGCACCCAAATCTGAGCACACAGGCCTACAACATTTCCGCCTCCATCGTAAATGCAGCCGCCGCAGCCGGGATTCGAACCACGTACTACACATCAGCTCCACCGTCACTGCTGAGACATACATCACCGTACGTATTACGTTCATCCCGCCGATTTTCGCGACTTCCTCCGTCACACAATTTCAGCCGAATAATGTAAGCCGCAGGGCCTCGAAATTAGCCTCCTTCGGCAAGTCGTGCGGCGTCGCGTTATATCTATAGCATACGTATTCATGCGCGCTGGAGATCCGACGGACGGCATTCGCGCTCACGTTTCCGCATCCCTACAAAAAAGGAAACTACAAAAAGAAACGTAAACTCGCGAAGAGGACGACTAGAAGAGAACCTGTTTTTTGCACCGGCATAGATATACTCCATACGCACACTCAGCTCAAGTATATACCAGTACACCGGCATTTATGTACGTCCCCTTCACTGCTGCTGCCGATTTTGCCGAGCCTTACTTATAGACTCCTGAGGCTGTCACGTGCATTACCGTATTCACCCTTTAGGAAACGTGTCGTTTTTACTGCGGATTCAAACGCGATACACTTATTTTAAAATATAACTACTGCAATGCGCAACTACTTGCAAGGTACCACGTCTACGTCGCGACAAACCTGGTCTGTAAGGATAATGCTGACTCTGATCTACGCGCTTAGAGGGGCGTGTCCTGCAGGACAAATAAAAGTTTTCCCATCTACGCGCTCAGGTCAGAATTACGTTTCTTAAAGGGGGGGTGGCAAAGGGGTGGAGGGAGAAAAGCGAGCTGGCGGAATTTTTTTTTTTTTCGGGTGGTGGGGGGACTTCAGTCCAGCCCCCTCCCTCTTGCCCTGGGGCTGGCACAGCCCTCGTTTACGCCGATGTTACCCGAACTGAAGACGGTGCAAACGAAAGCATGTGCGTCCCTTAGTCCCAAATAATCCTGTTTCAGTCCGTTAGTACTGTATACATGACGAGAAGAAACGAGCCCTCCCCTTCCCCTCGGGAGCACGTGTAGGTGTCGCGAGTCCTCGGCCTTGTAGCAACGCATCACCTTTGCAGCGAAGCATGCAGATATCCAGCGAGCGCTGGTATAAAGTGCTTGGTGTTTTCTTTTTTTTTCTTTTTTGGCGCTGTTTACAGTGAATGATTA